AATGAGCACGCCTTTTGTGTTTTTAACTGTTTTCTCATTCCTTTTGTTCTGAAATAGTAAAAAAAATTCTTAACCAGTTAATCCTCTCAATGAGATAAATAATATTCATGTTATTCCATGGAAATTCTTACAGTATAGTGGTAAGGTTTTTTTTTTTGGTAGTTTAGTTGCTTTTAATTGACTACACATATTGTGTTGGGATAGAAATGACTAAGGTTCTTGCCCAAGGAACTTAACTGGCTGACTTACATGTACACGTTACTTAATATCTGGCAAGTGAAACTAATAATAGCATCTTTTAGGGCTGTGTCCTCCACAGAGTTTGGAAAGATTGGAAATGTTATAGCTATGCCAGTAAATAAAAATCCTAAATTACCTTAGCAGCCTGCACTGTTAAGGGGAGTCATTTGACTGGAAAGAATCTTCATTTGAGTGTTTCATGAACCTTTAATTTTCTCCCAACAAATTATTTTGGGTCAGTTATCTCATTCATAAAGGAAGATGTTCAGTTAGCTGTATCTTTCTACCTATACAGCAGTGTAAATATTGTATGAGATTTAAAGTTGAACAGTATTGTCATTTATATAGTAGTATGCATTGTTCTGAGAAAAGTCAGTCTTGTGTTGAAAAGTTAGATGTTACTGGCAGACAATGAAAGGAAATCTCCAGTATAGCAGGAAGAAAAGTATATTGGGGATTGGTCACTGTTATATTGAAATGGGGAGTACTTTTATTTTTATTTTTTGGCTGTATGAGTGCTATACAAAAAAGAGGACTAAGCCTTTACCCATGTGTTGCAGGCCCTGGCCAATGTCAACATTGGGAGCCTCATTTGCAACGTAGGGGCTGGTGGGCCTGCTCCAGCAGCTGGTGCAGCACCAGCAGGAGGTCCTGCACCCTCCACAGCAGCTGCCCCAGCTGAGGAGAAGAAAGTGGAAGCAAAGAAAGAAGAATCCGAGGAGTCTGATGATGACATGGGTTTTGGTCTTTTTGACTAAATTCTTTTAACATGTTAAATAATAAAAAAAAAAACCTAAACTTTGCTGATAGTTTGGAAATTTCTACAAATTTAATCTTATGTAATGCTATGTTGGCTTTTGCCCTTTGCTTTTCAGTCACAACATGAGCTAGGTTTTTTTCCTCTGTCACCATTACCAAGTGGGAAATCTTATACAAGCCTGACACTAGGAAGGCACCTAATATTGAACACTGGGGGTGAGAAAAGGATCAGAGTAGATGCCTTGTCCAGATTTTTTATGTAATTTCATGATTACAGGATTTGTCCTTAGTAAATACCAAGTGGGTAGATAAGTCCTCAGTTACTCAAAGCGGGCAAAACCAGAATTCAGACCTCTTTGAAAAGCTGACAAATATAGCCCCCACCCATTAAACAGTAATATAAATAGAAATTCCTTTTTTTGGAACCAGGGATTGAACTTGGTCACTTGGCCACTGAGTTACATCCCATCCCTATTTTGTTTTATTTATTTAGACACAGGGTCTTGCTAAGTGCTGAGACTGTCTTAACTCGCAGTCCTCCTGCCTCAGCCTCCCGAGATTTCAGGTATACACTTCCATGCTCAGCTAGAAAATTATTTATTTTTAAATTTTTTTTTTTGTAGTTGTAGGTGGAGAGCATACCTTTATTTCATTTATTTATATGTGGTGCTGGGGATTGAACCCAGTGCCTCACGCATGCTAGGCAAGTGCTCTGCCATCGAGCTAGAACTCCAGCCCCTGGAAATTCATTTTTCAAGGTGCTAGGGCACTCAGTAACAGATTTATAAACATGAGTATTGTTCAAAGTGCCAGGCATATAAAAATGAATAATCCTAGACCCACATCGTGTCAATTTAATAAAGGAGGACATGAGGTCACTAGTAATAAGCAGGATGCCCAGTGCTAATGAATGGCCCTTGTGTATAGTGCTACAACCATTTGAGAAAATAATTATTTCCCAAATATGAGGTTATTACCCAAAAGAAACTACATAGACTATCAGAAATGTTAGAAGCAGAGATTTTTTTTTTTTTAAGAAGGGTTACTAGTGATAGGCCACCAATGATTAGGCTATGGTTTGGTTAGATTTTATTTTTTTCATAGAATCAACAATGTATTTTTTTTTTAAGAGAGAGGTAGAGAGAGAATTTTAATATTTTTTTTTTATTTTTTAGTTATCGGCGGGCACAACATCTTTGTATGCGGTGCTGAGGATCGAACCCGGGCCGCACGCATGCCAGGCGAGCGCGCTACCGCTTGAGCCACAGCCCCAGCAATGTATTTTATTATACATCTTAGATTTATACATTTCATATATGCTTTTAAAGCTTTAATTAACAGTTAAATACCATATATAGAGAGCAGTGGTTCTCAGGCACAGAATTTAAGAGGCTGGAGTAAGTCTCTTCCCGGCATATAGTAGACATTATGAATCATGATAGTGGAAAGCTTCCTTCTGACCTAGCTGCCTTCTTCATTGAATTTTATTAGAGCAAACAGCTTTTAAGACATGTGATATTGCTAAATGGAAATAAGATTGAAAATATGTTTATATCCTGTGTTTTCTTAGTCTTTAAGACCTAAATGATTACTTTTCTCCTAATAGTGCTCTAAGATCATCCAGTGAAAATAATATTGTCCATAAACTATTTGGAACAACTGCCTAAGAACCACTGCCTATGGTTATTCAATGTCTTCAGGCCTCACAGGATGAGGTAATGGTATGATGGATTTCTTTTTTTTTTTTATTAATGTTTTTTTTCCCGACCTATGCATGGCATGTGTTCACTGCAGTCACCAAATGTGCCCCTTACTGAAGTTTGGCTCTGCATATTTATTTTTTTTTATGTGGTGCTGTGCTAGGCAAGTGCTCTACCACTGAGCCACAATCCCAGCCCTGGTATGATGGATTTCTTTGTGTGCTTGGAAAGTGCCTTCCTCATATCATAAGCATCCTCATCGGGCTCCCCGTTGCTGGCTGAATAGTACTCTGACTGTCCTATATGACCATCCTATACACACTGTAGCCCAATTGCTTGTACATGTTGACTGCAATTTGGTTAGATACTCTTAGAAAAGATCAACAAAAAAATCCATCTTTTTCTGAAATCTCCTCTAATAACTCCATAAGTTTAGCAGCCAAACCAAGGCGTTGAAATTCAGGGGCAACAGAGCTGTGATGTGCCCATGCCATTCTTCCCTGGCTACTGAGCCTTCTGCTTTACCCAAAATATAACCCATTAATTCTCCACCAGGTGCTTCTGCAACAATGAAATACTGTGGCCAGCGGGCGAGGTACTGTAAGTGGGTCCAAGTTAATGTTGAAGCGAAACAGGTTGTCGCACGTGAAGGCTCGGAGCGTGGTCATCTCACCACCACCGCCAGCCTAGAAAGCCAGCACCTCGCGTTGGTTATATTTTAAACCTGCAGTAATTTGTGTGACCACATTATACTTTCCACAAAACAAAATAGCCATGCATATGGGATGATAAGCCATTTAGAACTTTGAAATGGGATAATGGGAGGGAGGAATATAAAGGTATACAATGTTATACTAAAAAGGCCAATGAAGACTGTGTTATAAAGACAACTATTCCCAGTATCCTGTTATCTCAAGGTGGTAAGATCTCACTTCAGATGGGGAAGTAGAAATTAAAAATTACTGAGTGAACAGATAAAAACCTAGCTCTGACTCTTAAACTTATTCTGGACAGCATGGCCCCAGGTTCCTCTATGAAGTGTCCTTTGTAATGCTGATACTACTCACAGAGCTGAAGAGGAGACAACATTAGGAATTCCTTGTACTCAGCAAATGTCAGGAAGGAGGAAGTGGTAAACTATGGATGTAACTACCAAACAGTACAATCAAAATGTACTCTAGCAAGACTCAAAAAGTGTGTGTGGCTTCACTGGGTGGTTTGGCTTTTAAAGACCTTTTATAGTGAAGAATCTGAAGTCAAATTAGGAGAGCCACATAAAAAATAACCCTTATTCACTTGATATAAAAGCAAGTTTAACCTGTTTTAGTTTTGAGCCTCAAAATTACTCTGAAAAATGGTAATACCTACTTCATATTGAGAATGAACTAGAGGTAAGTCAACATGTCCATCAGTGCTTGTTGGCACTGATGTTATGTCCTTTGTGAATGTCATAGAAGAAACAGATGTATCCAGAGTCTTGAGGTCCTGTAGGCCCAAATCTTGTGGTTCTCAACCTTCCCCCATCCCATCCTATCCTTTCCAATCAAGCAAGTTTGGTTTCTCATTGTTTCATACTCCTGATTGTTCACCAAGCATACACCTTGCCCATCCCTCACCCCCACCATAGTACTGAGGATTGACCCCTGGGGATGCTTTACCACTGAGCTATATCCCCTTATTTTATAATGAGATAAGATCTTTCTGAGTTGCCAAGGCTCATGCTAGGCATCCTGGTTACAGGTATATGCTACTGTACCAAACATTTTTCCTTTCTGTAGTGCTGGAATCAAATACAGGACCTTGTACATACAAGGCAAGAACTCCCCACCACTGAACTATATGTATCCTGAACCATTTTTAAGTAGATCCATCATTCTCAATTATGTTCACATTTCTCCTGTCCATACTAGAAAAATACCTAGGTCCACAGCTGGTCCCTCAACACTTTAATGATTCTATGTATCAGCAGGCATCCAGGCTCAGACAAAAGGCTCATGTTCTATAGGATTGTCCTCACTAGTGAGCTACCTAAGAACCACGACAAAAATATATTTTCACTGAATGTGTTGTACAGTGGAGTGAGTAGCCATCCAAAGTGCCTATGAACTTTAATCTCTCCTTTTTTTCACCCCTGAAAATGGCTTGGAGAAACATTTTAAATTTCAAAACTACATTTTGGAAATGAACATTCATTAAAAGAATTAAAATAATGCAGCAAACCAAATCTGTATTGCTACATATTCGAATAATATGTCATTCTTCCCCATAATTTTCGAGTGAATGCATATAGTAGAAAAGTTTTTAAATGTGGAGTGCTTCATGAATTTGCATGTCATCCTTGCAAAGAAAGGGGCCATGCTAATTTCTTAATTGTTCCAGTTTTGGTATATGTGCTGCCATAATGAGCATGCATAAAATTCTGATCCAGTTGATTGACTTGGTGTAACACTTTATAGTTTAGAAATAATTTTTATTATGTGTTCTCCCATTCTGAGCTTTACCATATTGGGGGAACTTTATTAGCTCTGTTTTATGTTAAAAAAAAACAAAACACTTGCTCAGAGTGGTTGGGAACCTGCTGGGTTCACAGAGCTAGCTAGTGTAGAATAAAGTTGGGCCTGACACCTCATTGCCTTAATCCAGAATTTCTTCTACCCTGACAAGGTGTCCCCACTACACATGATTTTGTAAGATTCATTGACCAGCCTTGATTTTTCTATTACTTTACAAGTCATTTCTCTCATCTCCTTGTCTTTGCAACTAAGCCTGGATAATTCAGTTTTGAGATCATGAGCAGCTTTAAAGAGAACATTGATATTTTTAGTTCTTTTGAAACAGGGCAAGGAGATATCCCTCAAGGTCAGAACATGGACAGGATACAGCATGCATGTTCAAGTCTTGGACTGTTCAACTCAGATCACTAGTCTTCTGGAATACTTAAATCAGAATGCAGGGCCAGGGGCCTTCACGTATTTTCATAGAACTGCTTCAGATAATTGTGGGCCTCCAAGCCCAGCCCTACTCAATTTCACCTGACGCTTCTACACTTCAGGATTATAATATCCAATTAAAGTAAGAAATGTGTGTCTTTTCACCCTTCAGATCTTTGTACTTGCTATCCTCTCTCTGTGATACTGTCTATATACTCCAGTTAATACCACTACCTCAGGCCTGAGAAAGCCCACACCAGGACAGATTAAATTTCCTGCTTTAAGTTCCCTTTATTAGGACTTCTTAAAACAGAGTGTAATTACAGTTAGGTGATGGTTGAGTATCTTTCTCTTGCTACCACATGCTCTGGGGATCTGGCTGTCTGCTTTGCTCACCTGAATCTCCAATCCTTATCCCAGTGCCTGGCTCATTGTTGACCTTCAATATATATTTATTACAGAGTTAAGCTCTTATTTAACGTGAGAAGATAAGGACCCTGATAGGAGGAACTTGTTCAGCACCAATGGATTAACAGCTAGAACTGGAATTCAAATCTCCAGACTAGCAAATGATCTTTCCACTGTGTCAGACCTGACACCCATCCCCCACAGCCTTATTCATTTAAATTCACAGTAAGCACCTAACAGGGTGCCAGGTCCAGGTATGGGTAATTAGGCCCTGATGTGGAAAGTCACTCCCAGATGAGGTTGGAAGGCTGTCTGGACTGACACATTCCTTTATCCCCAAACCGGCAAGTCAACTCAGCGACTATACTGGAACATCTTAGAATTCTAGAGCCCTCTGGGCCTCAGGGAAGATTTCTCCTGGTGATGCCCGAGTCAGGCTGTTGGGGTCAACAAGGAATTCTATCAGGTTCAAAGGTGTGGTGGCATCAGGGAGCCAGCAAACTTCAGGAAATGGGGTCCCATGCTCATGTGGTGACCTATTGTCTCTCCCTCATGTTCACATTGACCCAGATGAGAGAAAAGATGGAGAAAGGCTTAGACACCCAGGGCTAGGCGACTGGATGAGGCATTCTCACCTCTCTAAAGAGCCACAAGCTTGCCTACTCCCGGCCTAGGTACAAAGGACCTGTGCATGTGTTCATGTTTTTATAGCCCCGCCGCTGGCCAATCAACGTCCGCGCTGGAAGGAAAGGGCGGGGGTAGGAGGCGGGGCTAGAAGCCGAATGTGTCCAAAGGAAGCCGAAGTTTTAATTGAGCTGCGCCTGGGAACCACAAGGGGCTTCTTCCTATTGTTGGGCGTTTGCGTAAGCTTGTTGCCAGTTCTGGGAGTATCAGTTTCCAAGTCTAGCTTTGTATGGTGGTGCAGTTTCTGATGCTGATCTTCCAATATTGAAAGAGGATTTAACAGTTGTATACCAGGCCACGTTGAAAAAACTGGGGAAATGGACTGTTGGTTTAAGTATAAATTACTTTTTAAGGAGGATAATTTGGACGTGTGTGTGTGTGTGTGTGTGTGTGTACCGGGGATTGAACTCAGGGGAACTCTACCACTGAGCCACATCCCCAGCCCTATTTTGTATTTTATTTAGAGATAGGATCTCACTGAGCTGCTTAGCTCCTGCCATTGCTGAGGCTGGCTTTGAACTCATGATCCTCCTGCTTCAGTCTCTCCAGCCGCTGGGATTACAGGAGTGTGCCACTGCGCCGGACAATTTGGTCTTCTTTCAACTTTAACTTCCACTCAGGATTTTAATTGTATGAATTCATCCTATAAGTATATGTACAATTTCACCGAAGCATTATTGTAGCAGAAAAAAAAGTACCTGATAGGTTGAGTAAATGTTGATGTCTTCATGTATTTACATGAACACTACTGTGGAAAGATAACCAGGAGGGCCAGTGAGATGATAAAGGCAAGTTACTACCAGAATGCTTAATATGGTCCTATTTAGTAAGAAAACAAAACAAAAGGAAACAACAACAAGAAGAAAAGATTCAAATGCATAAGTTTGTAGTAGAAAGATTTCTGGGAGGATTCAGAAATAAGTAGCAGCGATTACCTCTGAGGATAGGGATTAAATAGGATGAGAGGAATATTTTTACCTTTCAATTTATCTTTTCCATATTGCTTAAATTTTCAAAAACAGTAACCCTGCATTGCTTATAAGTTAAGAATAATTTTAATATTTAAAAAAGTTGGACAGGATTTCATATGGAAGAGAGACAACTTCCAGGCCATTCTAGAAGGAAGACTGTGATTGATTTTGAGACAGTTTTAACTCAAGAAAGAAATTTGCCTGATATTAGGCTGAGACTGGGATAGGGAAGACAATGCTTTGAGATGCAGTGTAGACTACGTGCCTGTGTCAGTCTGTTTTTCTGTTGCTACGACAAAATAACTGATGCTGGATAGCATTGAAAAAAGAGGTTTCCTTAGCTCACTGTTTTGGAGCCTGGAAGTCCAAGATTGGGTGCTCCATCTGTTCTGCTCTGGTGAGGACCTTCTGGCTACATCATAATACGGTAGCTTGTATGATGACATGTGAGCAGTGCAAGTAGAAGAGAGATTCAGGGAAGTACCAGGTCACGTTGTTAGAATCCATTCTCTTGGGAATGGACTCTACTAAGTTCTGCAAGGGTGGTGTCCAATGATCCAATCACCTTCCACTTGTGTAACCTCTTTAGAGAAAAGGAGGACAGTAAAGCTTCATGTCCCTGAATGCCCCCTTCTGTTTCTAAAAGCCCAGCCAAATTAAGCTAATAAAGAGAGCCCTGGGCTGGAAAGCCCAGATACACACGATCCTGAAGGACACTGTCTTCTCTTATGCATGCCAGCAGCTAGGGCAAGTTAGTGTTATATGTAGGCAGCTCTGTTCTTGCACACACACCAGGACGGTTGCTCCTTGGGATGCTGGTCACATAAGCAAACTAAGCAAGCAATGCTGATGGCATCACTGTTTCTATAGCCTAACATGTAAAACCCCTCTTTGAGACTGGTGTGGAACTGGGGACACTGTGGAAAAGATACTTGTTACTTGTCCTGCTGGCTGCCACTGGACAAAGTGCCAAGAGGGATGAAGGCACTGCTTGGGGAAATGCCGTGAGGGACAGAGGTGCTAGCTGTTTCTCCTGTCACCACTGAACTTTACTTGGAGCAGCCACTGATCTCTTGTAAACTTTCTCCAATAAATCATGTTTTGCATGTTATCACTGGACACTTTCTTTGGCCTTTCAGCAATTTGCCCCCTTCCCTGGCACACTGGGCTGTGGACATGACAATTCACCTACTTCTTAGAGATTCCACCTACTTACCATGGCTACGCTGAAGTCCCAACCTAAGAACTTGAATCTCTGGGGGATAAACTATATTCAAACCATAGCAATATCTCTTCTGGCTATGAGATCCTATAGATCTTTTGGAATGTGGAGTTAAATGCTCTAATGTCAGACTGCTTGGGTTGACTCAAATCCCACTGTCACTAAATAGGACTTTGTGGATTTTCCTCTCTCTGCCTCAGGTTTGTCCTGTATACAGTGAGATAATAACAGCATCTGTATAACAGCTTTGGTAGGATTAAATGGGATGCTACATGTAAAATTCTTGTTTTTTATTTTTATTTTTTATTTTTGGAAGCATTGGGGATTGAACCAGGAATGAGCTACCACTGAACTACCTCCCACAAAGCCCTTTGTAATTTTTAAGTTTTGAGGTTGGGTCTCACTGTGTTGCTGAGACTGGGCTCACACTTGCCATTCTCTTGCCTCAGCCTCCTCAGTATCTGGGGTTACAGGCATGTGCCACCATGCCCAGCACTTACACAATTCTTGTTCAAAAAGTGTTATAGCCAGGTAGCATCCGCCTGTAGTCTCAGCTGCTCAGGATGCTGAAGCACAAGAATCACTTAAATGCACAAATTCAAGATTGACTTATGCACTGACTCTTGAATTTTTTTGAGTTTCTTTTTTTGTTTGCTTGTTTGTTTGTTTTGAGACAGGGTCTCTCTGTGTTGCTCAGGCTGGTCTTGAGTTCCTGGGTTCAGTCTGGCAGGACAAAACAGCAACAAAAGTTAGTATTTCTTTGCTCTCTCATAAAAATTAAAAAAGGAATCATAGAAATAATTCTTACTATTAGAGTTGCTGTTTTATTTTTATACCTTTTAAATATTTACGAGGAAGGTCAAATATTGGGTTTTCAGGATTAATGAAATGAGTAGATTGGCAGAAATGTGTACATGCTGGATGGCTTTGCTTACAGAAGGAATTTGTCTTCCAGATCCTGGCTCAGTGCTGCCATATAGTGGCCAGACATGAGAATGGCAGCTCGGATCAGCCTCTTTACCGAGAGTGTGCCTGGGCTGGGGTGTGAGTTGTGCAATCAGGACTGGGCAGCTGAGTGGCCAAAGAGTGAGTGTAAGCCACACCTTGGGAAGGAGAGGCATGTTTGCATGCCTATCTGTGACCCAGACAAGAGGAAAACCAAGTGCACTTTAACATGGTCTTGCTTCCCTTGGC